TCTCAAGCTTGTCCGAGTCCCTCTGGATGGGATCCTGTCCCTCAGACAATCATAATGTCCTTTCAGTTGCTGTGGTAGGATCAACTCCTTTTCTGAGCTGACACTCACATCCTTGGACAGAAAAAAGATCCAGTGACAAGCAAAAGGAGAGAATAGCATGCTGCATGAACTGCACAGTGACTTTGTTAGAAAGACTCATTTCTGCAAGAGGAGCTTGAGGGATGAGAGGAAACAGGAGAGGGAGGTTGGTACAATGGTACAGTATGCCATGCCAGAGGGGGAATGGAGTGCCCTGGAATCTACTGATGTATGTAAAGCAAAGACTATGGAGTCTCCTCTGTGTTTGAAGAGTCCTGCTGTTCATGGAAAATCCTGGGATTCATTAAGCTCTGAGCTGGACCAGGAGCTAAAAGAAGCAGAGATGCTCTTTTTATTCTACCCTATTACCACCATGTAAGGAGAATGCACACACCTCTTACAATCTGGGGCCATTCCCAGCAACTCTCTGCTTCTCAATGATGTAAAGTCCACATCCTTGGGCTTCCTAAATACTTACATATTTCTTATCCTACTGGTTTTGTTGCATAATGTGTTAGCATGTGCTAGCTTTGGAAAGAGGGTAGGAAGGAAGTTTGTTATCAGAAGCTGATAGGAGGGGAGTTGTATCCGAAGTGCCTTGTCTATAGGCAGGAGCAGATAAGCTGACTCATACCTCTGAGTCCCCAGCACCACAGCACTACACATCCCTATGCATGTACCACGTGAAACACAGGCATGGGCATACACAAGAGGCTTTAACCTCTACACCAGGGATAATAGAACACTTTCTAATCACCTGTGCTGCTTGTACAAAACAGTAGTGTCTTGTATATCAGGGCACTGCAGGTTGAAGAAAACTGCTCAGATTGCTTGATGAAAGCCACTTTCATGAGAAGCTGCTGCCAGTCCTTCATGACAATTTGACACTGGTGCTGTTTTTCCATTGTTCTGAACCAAACGAGGGTGAAGAAAGTAGAGAGAGGTGTGCATCAGTGGTCTTCAGCATTCAGAATGTGGAAGGGAAGGTCTTTCAGATCTTGATAATACTGGGTAATACTCCTCACTTGTAGGCATTTGTGGCTCTAGGCTTGCTTGTAAACCAGAAGGCCAGAAGAGAACTGTACAATTATCTGGACTAAATCTTCATGCAAAACAGAAAGCCTTGTTTGATGCATCAGTCTCAACAAAGAGGAACTAAAAGATATGTTTAAACTTGAATGTTGGATTCCAGTGAGTTAGAAGGACAAAACCATGAATGAAGCAGAAGATTCTACAGCCTGCCATGTACACATTAATGTATCTTTACTTAAATCCCATTATTATATATGTGGGTGAAAGCTGCTGCCCAACAAAAAGATACAGAAAAATCAGAAAAGCGGAGGGCACTGCAGATGCCTGATGCCTCAGAGCTCTCTGGTTTAAAGGAGAGGTTTGTTGGGCTCAGAGGGATTGGCAGGAGGGGCTGGCATGTGAACTGATTATCCACGTAGATGTCTTGAACCCATTTCTCAGTGTGTCCATCATGTTCGGGAATAAGTGAGAAACTAAATTATAAATAGTAGGGCAAGACTGCTGGGAAAGAAATAAATCCCAGTAAATCAGAACAATCAGTTTGTTCTCCAGTGTTTCCTGTACAAGTAATAAAATCTAATAACTGAGTTGCTGTTAAGAGTTAATGACCACTGCATTTGTTAATGGACCCAGACAAATGAGAGCAGTTTAATACAACAAACAGGCCATTAGCTGTATTAATGGTTGGCTTGTAGGAGTTAGGGCTCTTATAAACTATATTCTGCAGTTTATAATACCAGCACTTTATAAAATGACCTGGTGTTTTCCAAAAAATAAAAAATAATAAGGATCAGGTGAGCTCTAATGTAGTAGTGGAAAATAAGTATGCATGGTAACTAAGAAAAGCTGATATTAGGCTAAAATCTCTTTTTCTAATTTGCACTAGAATAAATCAGGATCAACAGCAGACACACAAGTCTTATATAGCTTAAATGAGTGGCAGCTCTGCTTTTGACTTCAATGAGTTTGAGATTGATCTTGTAATTATTATCATTAGAGAGGAACTGGATCTTTTCTTTTCCCCCCTCAGACCACAAATGATTCCACAAATGGGATATTTGGTCTTTAGCAGCTGTCATTATTTAGAGGTTTAACAAGCACTCTTATAGAAAGAACTATAAAAGGCAAGTGGTATAAATAGACTAAAATTAATACAGGAACAAAATAGAGTTAGTTCCTGCTTCACTTGCCTCTACAGCTCTTTTAATTTTTGTATTTTTATAGTGTATTTAGCTGCAGTTCCATTTACAAGAAGTGTCAGCAGCATTTTTTGCAATGGATGTTATGAAAGCCACAGTTTTTCCATCACTTTACAGACTGACTGCTGAATGTAACCAGTGTCTGGTAGAAATATGAAGTGGAACAATTTAAGCATTTGCTCTTAACTTGCCAAATCAGGATGATACTAAATTATTACAGAATTAAAGGTTACTGAAGAAGGGAATAATTCACACTTCGGTAGGAAAAAGGCTCTAATTTGCGTATAGCTGCAGTGTGAGATAAGGCCAGGTTTAAATCATAAGTTTACAACAGAGCTTGGCCAAATTCTTTGGCTTTGTTTATGGAGCTGAATTGCAAGTTTTCCAGATAGACCCCCAAAAACACAAGAGAGAAGTTGCATAAACTTATCCTTGTGGTCACTGTGACCTGAAGGAAGAACGCAGGAGTAAACTCAGAGAGTTGTTCCCAGCTATGGCCATTCATCCACCTGCAGGAAATGGTGCCTAAGCCGGTCTAAAGAGGTGTCACTCTGCAGTTTTTTATTTAGATATGGAAATTACGATCCAGGGGAACAAAGTAGGCTCACTGGGTCTCTCCTAGATTCATCATATCTCAGCCATGCTGTTCCATGTCCTTCCTCTGTTAATTCCTCTCAGCTGGCAATTTGTGGTTTAAGAAGTTCCTGAGCCAGGGTTTATCTCATGATCAGTAGCCACTAGTGGGTCTATCTTCCATAAATATCTAGTCCTTTATGAGGCGACTTATGTTTCTGGCGCCCCCATTTTTGGCAATGGATTCTAAATTATTTTGTGAAAAAGTGTTTGTTTCTATATATTTTAAACCTGTGACCTCAAAATTTCTGTGACTGCCCTTTAGGTCTTGGCTGGGAAAGAATGAAAAATCCTTTCCCATTCTTTTAGCTCATACAGTTTTTGACTGTACAGATGTCTCTCACATTTTCCTCTTCAGTCATTCCTTCCCAGACCCAGAAATCTTAAGCTAGAGAGTCTTTCTCCCTTCTCAACTATGTTTCATGCTTTTCATTATCTTCATCATCTTTTTTTCTGTGTGTTTCCTAGTTCTACTCTGCAGTTTTTTAGATGCGGGGAGAAGTGGGTTTAAACATAATAAATGGTAGGGGTGTATCATTTATAAAGTGCCTGAGTGACAGTTTTGGCATTGCTGTCAGTTCTGTTTCTAATCATTACCAATAGTCTATTTGTCTTTTTGACTGCTGGTGAGCACTAAGCTGTTTTTTTTTCCAGAGGGTTCTCCACCACTACACCAAAATCTTCTCTCAGAGTGGCAGGTTATCAAACCTGCTTGTTTATCCTGTAATTTACCCACAATTCAGATTACATTGCCTCTTGTGCTTTATTTTCTGTTTGTTGTCATTGCATGTCTTCCAGCACGCTGCTGCTCAGGCACGTCAGATCTGTTCGTGCTTCTCAGGGGGTTTCTGGAACAACTCTGTGTCATCAGCCAACTGCTCAGGAAACCATCCAGCTTGGCAGGAAGCACTGGGAAGAGCCCAGCCTAGCTGAACACTGGAGGGCACAGAATGAATCACTGTGCCATGCCTGGAGCACGGTCTCCGAGGTGCTGCAGAGAAAGAGAAGGGAATCCATTCTCCTGCAGTCCTGCCTGGCTCCCGGAGCTGTGTAGGGATGATCAGTGCTGTCATCACCAGATGGTGCTGCTGCATTCAGCCTTGCAAGGTCATTGTGTGTAGGGATGTTTTGATTCCTTGAATAAAATACTGAACTGGGGATGTTTTTCCACTATGCAGATGTCTGGAGAGTAGGAAGGGTACGTTCTGACTTCATGTCACTCCTCAGTTCTCTTTGAGAACGGGACATTTGGCCTTTGGCTGGGAGTTCAGAATAGGGATGTGTTCAGATGCTGTTTGAGGTGATCTGTTCCAGAATGTTCCAGAATGTTTGAGTGGATAAACAAAATTAATTAGATTCATATCATATGCATCCACATGACTGATTTTTCCTCCAGTAGAAAACTGGCCAGCAGTGAGTACTGCTGCTCATCAGAAGTACCTACAACTCTAACTCACTCATTTTTTCCATGAGTTTTAGAATACTTGCTGGTTTTTTAAACGTTCAGGTACAGAAATCATGCTATCACATGGGACTCCAATGCAAGAAGAGCCAATGAGCAGCACGTTTGGGAGCAAAATGTTCCAAATCTTTGCTAAGGCCAAGGATACACCAAGCTTGGCCAAGGATACACCAAGCTTAGCCAAGATCAGAGAGAAGGACCCTCCACAATGCCTGGCCCATGCACCCCAGCTCTGTGCTGGCCATGGCCCAGAGCATCTTCCACCAAGCAAGAGGTAAATGCATGAATGAAAAATCCCAGATACATAAGACGGGATAAGGGTGTGGATAAAGACCTTTTAATTCCCAGCTCTCTGCGAGAGCTTTGAGGCTCTTGGCTGGACAGAGATGCTCCTGCTCAGACCTCTACTGAAAGGTGGGTAAGACACCCTGCTGGCAGCTGCTTGGGTTGGTCTCTGCAGGTACAGAGAGAAGCCAAGCCTGCTCCTCACAGCCTTTCCCCCTGGCCCCCTCCCAAGTGCCATGGGACACAAGGTGTGAAAGGAGCACCGAGAGCCAGAGGGAGACATTTGTAGCTACCTCAGCACTTTCCTTAAGAAGTAAGCTCCTTGCCTCCAGAGGGATGACCCAAATCTGTAGTTTTCTTGGGGAACACCAGCACACACCTAAGAAAGGCTGGCAAGCCTGAATTCCTTCCAGTCCTCTGAGAACAGGCACTCCAGCTCTAGCTCCTATTGCTCGCAGTGTGTCTTGCAGGTTCAGACTAGTGGCCTTCAGTGTGTCCAGCAAAATCTTTAAGTGCACTTAATGTTGTGGAAGGGGCCCTTCCAGACAGGGCCCTTTGCAAGCTGAAGAGCTCTTGTCCCTGTGTGTGTGTGCCCACGGCGCAAGGGGCAAAAGCAAGGCAGGAGCGGGCCCGTGAGCTGCAGGGCTGAGGGTTTGTGCCGCTTAAGTTCCACAAAGATGCATCTCAGAGGGAGAAAGTGAATGTTTATTAACCAAAGGAGAAGGGGAGGGATGAAGCTTCTTAACCTAAGGGGAAGGGGAGGGCTGATCTTCTTAACCTAAGGGGAAGGGGAGGGATGAACGTTCTTCAAACACAAAGTGGCTGGAGAAGGTAATCAGGCGTTGGAATGGGCTGCCTGGGGAAGTGGTGGATTCTCTGTCCCTGGAGGTTTTTAAGATGAGATTGGATGTGGCACTTAGTGCCATGGTGTCGTGGGTTTACTCGTCCTTTCCCCCCTGGAACTTAAGGTGGTTGGTTCCACAGGGGTGGACTTTCTGGTTGTGACCGGGCGAAGAACCAATGGAAACTTTAGCAATGGCTCTGCAAATTACATTTTAAAAGGCTGGAAGAGAAGCTTATTGCACAGTAGAAATTTGAGCCAGGAGAGTGAAGAGGGAGCCGCTGGGCCTGGGGGGGCCGAATCCCCCTCAACCCTGTCCTGGGACGGGACGGGGTGGTGGCCATGACCCTTGGTCCGTGGCAGCTGCTGTCCCAGAGCAGAGAGGCCCCTGCAGAACCTGCGACCTGGAGGAGGTGTGGATCTGACTTGGAGGGGTCCCCTGAGAGCTTGCTCCCCTGGGAGGGACCCCACATAGCAGGGAAAAGACTCAGAGCTTTAACTCCCTGTAAGCCGTGCTGAAGGTGATGGTGGAGCGGGTTGTCCCCCCACAGCCCATGAAGGACCATGGGGGATGCACAGACCCCTCGCACCCCCATAAAGAGAGACTTTAGCTATGGCCCTGAGAGTTCTCCTCCTGCGTTGATGCAAGGGGCCAAAGGTGGTTCAAAAGTGTATTTAATACTGTATATTTTCTGACTTGTTAGTTTTTATCCTGTTAGCAATAAATTTGGATATTATCCTCCTATTGAGTCTGTCTTGCCTGTGTGAAGCTCTCTCAAGCTTTAGCAAGTTTTGGGAGGGTTTGAATCCGGCCAGAGTAAACCCACGACACATGGTCTAGTAACCACAGCAGTAAGGGATCAAGGTTTGAACTTGATGATCTCAGACTTCCCTTCCAACCTGGCTGATCCTATGATTCTACAGTTTTATGATTCTTAAGCTAAGGGAAAAGGAAGGGAAAAACCTTCTTAACCTAAGGGGAAGGAGAGGGAAGAACCTTCTTAACCTAAGGGGAAGGGATGGATAAACCTTCTTAAGCTAAGGGGAAGGGGAGGGAAGAACCTTCTTAACCTAAGGGGAAGGGAAGAATCTTCTTAACCTAAGGGGAAGGCAGAACCTTCTTAAGCTAAGGGGAAGGGGAGGAATGAAGTGTGGGCAAGAGAAGGGAAGGAAGGGAGGGAGCTGTCCATAGGGATGGGGAGGCCAGGAGCTGCCTGGTTTTGCCAGCTGGCTCAGTTGGGCCCAGCATCAGCTGCAGCTCCAGCTGCGCTGAGAAGCTGACTCGTCCCTTGGTCTTTCATTGCTGTTGGAGGGACGCTGGTTGTGCCGATGGAGAGGGTTACTTTGTTACTGCCCGTCGAAAAGCGGACAAGGCTGCAGTCCGCATGGTGCAGTAGGAGGGGCAGTCATCTTCAGTCATGACTTCAAGGGCTGGAAGAGAGAGGAATGGAGCCAAGGTCAGAGCCCGGATCTGTGGGGACTCCAGGAGCCCCTCCTGAAAGGCCATCCCAGCCAGCTTTGCCATGGCCAGGAGGGAGAAGGGGCCAACAGGATGAGCGGTAAGGTGCTGGCCCTTAATGCCCCCTGTGCCCCTGAAATGTGTCCCTGCTCTGCCCACAGCACAACTTGTCCATGCAGGGAGCAGAGCTCTGTGCAGGCAGGGCAGGCATTGCAGCTCCATGCTCAGGGTCTGTGCTCCTCCCCGCCAGTCCCCAGTGAGAGTCCGCTGTCCTCACTCACCCTTCATGATGGGCTGCAGGTCTTTTGTGTGCCAGGCAGCGATCCCTGTGAACAGAGAGTGTGTCAGGGCCCCAGCGGCACAGTTCCACCCCAGCAGCGCTGCCAGCCCAGCCACACGGCCTCCTGGCCACACGGCCTCCTGGCCACACGGCCTCCTGGTCTTCTCGCATCGGGACACCAAAGGGCACGACTGGCAGAGGGCGGCAGCCGTCACCAGGGCACTCAGAGTTTCACAGCATATCCCTGGGCCGCATCCTGCTGCCGCTGCAGCAGCTGGGGCTGGGGCCGAGCTGCAGTGGAGGGGGAGGGACCGCGGGCTTGTGGCTCACCCATGAACCTGACGGCCACCTCTCGCAGGGGCTGCTGTGGGCTCTGCAGATAGGGCAGGGCCTGGCGCAGGTGCTCGTCCCTTCGGCTGACGTCCTTGTCCATCTGCAGAGAGCAGCAGGGCACAGAGGGAAGGGTTGGCTGAGGCTCTGCCCCTTGGCCGGGCGCTGCCTGCTCCCAGCACTGGCCTCCCCTGCCTGCACAGCCCTGAGGCCCAGTGGTGCCGGGCTTTGGAGGGAGCAGAGTTGCTCGTGGGGAGCCACGGGGCCACCCTGCCCCACAGCCCATCTGGGCTGGGGCTCCAGCAGCCCCCTGGCTCAGGGGCAGCAGAGCCTGGAAAAGAGCCCACACGGCCGAGGGAAGGGAGCAGCGTGTGGGGCGCAGGCCGGTGTCCCACAGCTGGGTGCAGCAGTGGGCAGGGGCACAGGGCCAGCCCCACACACTGGGCATCGGGACTGGGGGCTTGTCCAGCCTGGGGCTGGGTCTTTAGGGTGGTCCTTACCAGGCAATCGCAGAACTCCAAGTGCTGCTGTTTCCTCAGCAGCTGCTCAAGATCCCTTCTCTTGAGGAAACTTGCAGCACAAAGGAGTGTTTCTCGAGAGGCCTGCAGAGCAGCAGAGACCAAGACATGGTACTACAGCCCAGGGCACAGCACTTGCATCCCTGAGCCAAGACCAGGAAGAGGCTGGAGCCCGCCAGGCATCAGGACAAGAGGCAGCCGAGTCCCCTGCCACGGGGACACCAGAGCCCACAAGTGCTCACCTCTGCCACGCACTGGTTCTCGTCACGGCAGTGGAAGAACAGCGGCACAAGACTCTGCTGCACAAGTGTCTTTTGTCCCTCTTCTGCCAGAAACTCCATCATTTCTCGGAAGAGACGAATGGAGAGCAGCCGCACATGGCCGTTGTCCTGGTGTAGAAGAAAAGAAGGAGACCTCAGCATTGGCTGCTCCAGGCCCACCAGGCAGAGGCCTGAAAATCCACAAGGCACAAACTATCCTGGAAGCACCAGAGCCTTACATTGTCAAAGAGTGGTCCAAGTGCCTCAGCCAGCTTTGGGGCAGCGGAGCTGAACGTCTGAAGGTCTTCATCCCGGAGCACATTGAGGAACACAGAGAGGGTCATCCCGACCAGCTCTCCATCTTCATGATGCAGCAACTCCAGGAGGCTTTCAGCCAGGCTGCAGATGCTTTCGGCCTGTGTGGAACACAGTGCTGTGCTGT